ATGCTGCTAATACTATCGACAATGCATTCAAGTTCTGAAAATGATCTCAACATTCCTCAACAATGCAGTTTCTGTGTTATACAGTACCAAGTCTATCCTAACAATATAACATAACTTTGATGGATTATATACTACATGCTTCACCAGATATTTTCCCCATGTTAACTCAACATCAATTTCTCAAGGTAATTAGGGACAGGCAACAAAGATTGGTCTGAGCAGCAATCCTCAAAACAAAGATATGTAAAAAATAACTCTGAAGCTAATATAAGCCCAGATGCTAACCAAACAACATAGCAATAAAGCAGCACTGCAACATTTGCCAGGTTATTTCTGAAATTCATTATTTTATAGATCAACACTCCATAATGCATCACATAGGTATGACAATGTGTCTTTTATAATAATATTATTTTATAGACTCAAGTCAGTCTCCGACAAACCTTTCCACATTCCATGGAGATTGAACTCAGTGAAGACCATCTTCCCATGAGTCCAGCCACACATTGTAATCAGTTCCTGTACCCCCACCACAGATACCTGTCTTTCAAACCCACCTTCCCCCAAACCCCACACACACTCATGCCCTCCATCACTCCACTCATCCATTCATTCCTTCTACTGCACCCCTCTTCCACTACTTCCAAAATGGATTTCTCTACCTTGCCTGGATGAGAGAGCTGGGGTGGAGCTTTGAGGAGACAAGCTCCGAGGCCATAAGACACAAGAGCAGAATTAGGCCTTTGGCCCATTGAGTCTGCTCCACCATTCGATCATGGCTGATGTTTCTCAACCCCATTCTCCTGCCTTCTCCCTCTTACCTTTGACCCCTTACTAATCAATAACTTATTTATTTCTGTCTTAAATACACTAAATGACTTAACCTGCATGGCCCTCTGTGGCAATGAGTTCCATTGATTAACCACCCTCTGAAGAAATACCACATTTCAGTTCTAAAGGGCCATCCCTTCACTGACATTGTGCCCTTGGGTCCTAGTCTCTCCTACAAGTGGAAACATCTCCTCAATGTCCACTCTATCCAGGCCTTGCAGTATTCTGTAAGTTTCAATCAGATCTCATCTTTCTAAACACAGAGTTCAGACCCAGAGTCCTCATATGACAAATAAAAACCGAAAGAACTGCTGATGCTGTAAATCAGAAACAAAAACAGAAATTGCTGGAAAAGCTTAGCAGGTCTAGCAACTGTGAAGAGGAATGAGAGTTAATGTTTCGGGTCCAGTGACCCTTCCTCAGAACTTCCTCATATGACAAGCCCTTCGTTCCCAGGATCATTCTTGTGAACCTTCCTCTGGACCCCCTCCAAGGCCTGCACATCCTTGCTTAGATATGGGACCCAAAACTGATCACAATTTTCCAAACGCTGTCTAACCAGAGCCTTATATAGTTTCAGCAATACATCCCTGCTCTTGTATTCTAACCTTCTTGAAATGGACACTCACATTTTATCCTGCAAGTTAAACTTAGGAGAAGCCTGAAATAGGACTCCCAAGTCCCTTTGTGCTTCAGATTTCTGAACCCTACCAAAGTGCATTCTTTGCCACATTATATTTCATTTGCCATTTTTTTGCCCACTCTCCTCGCCTGACCAAGTCCATCTGCAGCCTCCCCACTCCCTCTACTCTACATATCCCTGCACCTATCTTTCTGTCGTCTGCAAATTTAGCAAGAATACCCTCAGTAATGTAAATAGTTATGGTCCCAACATTGACCCCTGTGGATCTCCACTAGTCACTAGCTGCCATCCTGAAAAAGACCTTTTTTTATCCCCACTCTGCCTCCTGCCAGTCAGCCATTCCTCCATCCATGCCAGTCCCTTGTCCCCAACACCATGGGATCTTCTCTTATTTAGCAGCCTCCTGCGAGGCACTTTGTCAAAGGACCTCTGGAAATAGATCATGCCCAGTGACTCTCCTTTGTCTAACTTGCTCATTATCTCCTCCAGCGATTCCTGAAAGATCACCACCAATGCCTCCACAATCTCCTCAGCCATCTCCTTCAGAACTCTGAGGTGTGGTCCATCAGTCTGGGTGATTTATCCACCTTCAGATTTTTCAGCTTCCCAACACCTTCTCCTTAGTGATAGACACTACACTTCACTCAGACTCTTGAAGGACTGGCATGCTACTGGTGTCTTTCACCATGAAGACTGATGCACAGTACCTATTCATTTCCTTCATTTTGTTTCTTCCCCATTACTTCTCCACTGGAAGATAGCACCAACATACCAGAACTTCAGTGACAGGTGGAATACAACGTGGGAATGTGAGGTTATGCACCTTGGTAGGAAGAATAGAGGTGTAGACTGTTTTCTAAAAGGGGAAAGGCTTCAGAATGGGGTCAGATCCCACCATGGTGGGATTTGAAATCATACTAAAATCTGTAAGAGGCTAGCCCAGTGGTGATCATGTGTAACTACTGTCGACTGCTATAAAAACCCATCAGGTTCATCAGTGTCCTTTAGGGAAGGAAATCAGCTGAGTTACCAGAGTGTGGCCTACACATGACAGTCTGTTGAGAATCAGGGATGGGCAATAACTACTGGCCTTGCCAGTGAGCCCCATGTCCCATGACTGAAGTAGCAATGACAGATAGTGTCATAGTCAGGGTGTTATTGCTTAAACCTTTAATTAGAGCTAACCAGGAACTGGTCGGTGAAGGGATTCAGAGAGTTACTTATAGGGTGGCCCACATAGCTAAAAGGCAACAAATACATTCAGAAAAAGCAAAGCAAAAACTGCTATGAATTCCAAAAATCAGCAATGAAAACAGAAAATGTAAGGAACATGCAGCAAGTCAAGCAGTATGTGAAAAGAGAAATGCAGGATTAACATTCGAGTCCAACATTATATTTTCAGTGCAAAACCTCAACAACCCAACCCAAGTCTTAAACAAATTCAAATATTGCTTTCTTGCTTTTATAAAATATCGGATGCTTTTGTTAATGGCCTTTGCTACCTGACTCACTTTGAAGATCAATAGTTCTGCATCACTACTGCATCACCTGTCTGCTCCCCTGTGGTCTTAAATGACACACTTTCTTTCTGTCAAAACATATAACTTTACGCTTCATTCCATTACAGTTTCTATTCATTAGAGCACACCATCCTTAAAAGGAAATTGGATGGACACACGTTTTCACAGGGCAGGTTTGGGGAATAAGATTGATAGGGTTTCTACAGAGTTCCATGATGCAAATGGCATCCTTCCATATTGGCATGACCCTTTGATCTCATAAATATACAGCTTGGTAGCTGAGTGGAAAATGGAACAACCCTCTGATTTTCTGCACGAGGGACTGCAAACAATTCAAGCACAAATACACAAGGCCAAATTAGAATAAATCTCTGTTTATATCGTCTCAACATGTCTTGATATCTGCATTTGAAAAGGGCTCATGCTATGCTATTGTATTTTTCAAAAACATTTTCTCCCAGTGACCTTCAAATTCTGAATGTGGGTTCAGTCTACCTTGAATTGTGACCCATTTGCCCTCGAGGGCAGGCCTGTTCTTTTCTTACAGCTATTTTACTGATTTAATACAATCGGCTCATCACATATTGTGAAACTAGAAGAAATTACAGCTCACAATTAAGCAGCAGCCAAATTAGTCGACTATAGTTATTAGGGTTGTCTATGATGGAGAAATAGATGGTCCCAGGATATGGTAAACCGAATGCTTGGTAATGCTGAGCTGTGTGTGAGAGCAGCTGAGTATTTGAATGTGTACTTATCAAGTAACAGACTGATCTGGAATCATTAAACAGACTGAATCATATGTCACAACCATAATAATCAAAACTAATTTTACACATTGCTAAGATCTACTGCATGTAAACAAATTTTGCATATGGCATCAAAATAACAGACACATTTCAAACTGGACAAAATGAAAAATCTTATTTAAGAATCTTGGGTGAAGGGGCAGTGAAGACAGCAAGAATTATAATTTCCTTTGTGCACAGGAGTGGTGGGGGGTAGGGGAACACAAGAAATAGAACAGAAGAGGTGTATCATGGTGATTCAATAATGACAACCTGAGTCTGTCAGATATATTGCTCCCATCTCCAAGTTTACATCAAAATCTGGAGGCAGTCCTGGCTCAGTTGGTCACACTGACCCTCGAAGTCACAAGTTTTCACAAGGGCTTTGGAGCACAAGAAGTGAAAGTGGACTCTCTACTGCACTCCTGAAGAAGTGCTGCTGCTTTTCTGATGACAGGATCATGTCAAAAGTCAGATGACACCAGGTTATAGTCCAACAGGTTTACTTGAAGTTGCAAGCTTTGGGAGCAACCTGACAGGATGGTAGGATAAAGCAAGACTCCCATCTGGCTGTGAGAGAGAGCCTGTGACATCAGACTGGAAATGAACAGGGGAGGACCATGGAATCCGGTCAATATGTATCCAACAGTCGACAACACCAAGTCAGATTGTTTGCTCACTCTCACAGTGCCGTTAGTGGGAGTTTGCTGCTGCTGCAACATCTCCTATATTACATCCATGACGACTCTTCAACAAAGTATTTTGTTGCTGTAAAATGTGTTGAGGCTTGTGGTGGACATGAAAAGCATTGTGTAAATACAAGCATTTTTCTTCATTTTACAGCTTAATGGGAAAAAACAAAGGGAGAGAACGCACCTGCTTCCTTCCAGAATGGGCAACTACACCAGATAATGTAGTACCAGTCCAACTGTTACTCAGGTTATGTTTATACGTAAATAGAGTAGACCATAACAGCTTTCTGTGTAATACAGTGTGGAGCTGGAGGAACACAGCGGGCCAGGCAGCATCAGAGGAGCAGGAAAGCTGACGTTTCAGGTTGGGACCCTTCATTGTGCTGTCTCTGACTCCAGCATCTGCAGTTCTTGCTGTCTCCAAGCTTTATGTCCAAGCAATTTTCAACACAACTTCTCAACATACCATACAACTAATATGCAGATGTTTTACATATTTAAAAAAGTTCATTCAATTCTCACATGCTTGTCTTTAAATTATTTTATTCCATTTTCTACAATACAAATTTTTTTAGTTCATTGTCGAAATATTCTTCCCTGAAAACACAGGAAGCAGGTAGCTGCACCATCACCAAAGGCCATGCAGGTATGATCATCAGCACATTCAACAATGATGCCCTTATTTTAAACCATACCAAAAGGTATACTTTAACATCCTGCTTACAGCACAACAGAAGAATGTTTTATATATATGTACAGTGAACATATTTCTACAAAGTGGATATAAAACTTGAATGAAAAATTAATAACATGGCAAATTATTTACAAAAACGCAGAGTGAAATTGGTCTTGGACAGAAGTGTTAAACAGTCAAGAACAAACAGAGAGCTTGTCATACATTCTGGCCGACATGTTGTCAATAGAAGAGAAAGCTGGGTGGAATGTAAGGTAGGTTGTTGATTATCATCATTGCCTGCTTTACATTCTGGGCCCTCCCCGACCAATTCACCCCAATGTGTTCAGAAAGGTTTACATCCGGACACAGACAGACTTTGAAAGGAGAGGTTGGTGAATGAGAACATGGTCATAAGTTATTGAATTTTAGTGAGTATTCTGACTGTTGCTCTAGACATAGCTTACATTTTTATCTGATATGTACCTTGTTATAAAAGAAGGGGTTTAGGGGCTGATGAAGAATAGTATAAAAAATATGATACCTGGAAATATGATGGAAAGAGATAGATAATAGTGTTTGACAAAATATTGTTTAAAAAAGTCAAATGTACAAAAGTTCAAAATCAGAAGGGTTTTTTAAAAAATATAATTTTCTCCTTTCCCCTCCTCTCTTGAAATGGGTATCTCCTTACCTGGCCACACACCTGGGGGCCCTAAGTCATGCTATGGTACCTTGCCCAGGTGATCATTATTCACAGGCAATGTTTAACATTTGAATATTGGTGGACTATCAGACTACACAACGCATGGCTTCCAGCTGGTACTGCCCCCAAGTGATCTCCAATCACATACACCCCACTAGGCAAACTACAGCCACCTGAAGATTAGCTATGTCTGGATATCAACCTAGGGCACCATCTTAATCTGTGTGGATAAAACAGACCACGGATAGGTTCATAGTGCCACCAGAGGAGCAGCAGTGCTTCAATAAGTTGCTGATCAGTTTTTTTGTATGAAATAACTAGCTTGATCAGCAGACTCATTATCCCCAGTCTCTGAAAGGAGGTCACTGTTGAGGAATGTTACATTTGATTTGTTGCTCATTATGCAAAAGAAAATCATTCACACAAGTGAATTTAAGACTACAAACATATTCGTACTCATCTTTTTCTAAATAAACGTCATATATTAGCTCCCATCAACATCAGGGCTTGGTATTTCTTTGGAACTCCCTTGCTTCAGAACTGGGTGAACCCATGATTTTAGATCGGAAGTACATGCAATTTGCTCTAGATACTTCCAAGTCAGGAACTCAAAACTGCAACAGTCTCCAAACATGCGTCTATCCCAACCATGTATAAACTGTAAAATAACCAAAACAATTTGCTTTATCTCAACATACCCTAAGTCCAAAAGTCAATCATACAAGCAAGATACACTTAAACCGTGCTGAAATAACCAGGGTGTGTACCCTCACCAGTTTCCAAAGGACTGGAGTAAAGGGAGGGAGTAAAAGCAATAAAACAAACCAAAGAAAAATAAAATAGCAGCTATTAAAACTGTGCTGGTTGATCAGCTTTGGATCATTTTTTAACTGAATCTGATAATGTATCACAACAGACTAAAAGCTGCATCATAGGATTCTGCACATTCACACAGAATTGCTGTTCATTTCTCTCCCCCTTGGCTTTCAGTCTACAAGGGTCAGTCACAAGGATGACAACAGTGGATGGTGAAACATAGTACAGTACAGCTTAATAAAAAGCATGTGAGCAGCTTGAGAAGTATGCCAGCACACTCTTTAGTCTCCTTCAACAAGTGAAGAGCAGTCATCTTCATCATCATCATCATCCTCATCATCATCATTAAACGAGCACGGTGTTTCACCTCGTGATTCATAGTGCGATGTAATGCTGCTCGAGTGGCGACTTTCTGGAGCGAGGAGGTGTCCAGTTGCTAAGGCAACTTCCACATCAAGTGATAATCCAGGGGTCATACTGTTGGTTTGAAATAAGAAAATGAACACTCATACAGTAACCCTTTGTAAATTTTAATAAAGTGCCTGTTTTGCACCCCAGTGACAAGCTAAAAGTAATTGTTGTTGTATTTTTGGAACACAAGAGCAAGGGTAGGACATTCAGCCCTTGTGCCCAGTCCATTATTCCAGAACATGGCTGATCGTCTAACTCAACACCATGTTCCCAAGCTATTCCCACTTCCCTTGATATCACTAGTAACAAGAAATCTATCAATCTCTGTCTTTAATTTACCTAATGATTGAGCTTCTACAGCCCTCTCGGGTGGAGAATCTCAAAGATTCAGCACCATCTCTGTAAAGAAGTTTCTCCTCATCGCAATCTGAAGTGGCTTCCCTTTAATTCGGAGGTTCTGACCCCTGGCTCTAGAGTCTATCAGGGTCAACATCCATCTACTCTGTCGATTCTTTGAACAAATTTGCAAGATTCTATTAGATCGCCTCCGATTTTTCTAAACACCAATGAACGGGTTCCTCAATCTCTCCTCAGTTGGCAGTCCCACCATCCCAGGAATCAGTCCTGGGAACCTCTACTACACTCCTCTGTGGCAGATATATCCTTGCTTAGGTAAGGGGGCAGAACTGCAGACAATAATCCAGGTTCAGCCTCACCAGTATTCTGAACATTTTAAACAGTGACCACCTCTCTAATAATAGATTCTAGTACCTTGCTTTCTAGTGATGTCAGACAACAGGTTTGTAGTTCCCTGCTTTCTCTCTCCCTCCTTTCTTCAACAGGGCAATTACATTTACAACCTTCTAATCTGCAGATACTGTTACAGAATTAATAGGATTTTGAAAGATGACCACCTCCCTAATGCATCAACTATCCCTGTAACCAATTCTTTTAACAAAAGATGAAGGTCACTGGGTCCCAGGAATTTGTCAATTTCTAATCTTGTTAATTTATCCAACGTAGTTTATTTTTCCTAATATTAATATCTTTCAAATCCACACTCTACAAGAACCCAATTTCAGGGAGATCTCTGGTTCTTTCCTCTGTGAAGACAGACACAAAGTATGTACTTAGTTTCTCTAATTGCTATTATAAACCTTCCTGTCTTTGCCTGTAATGGACCCACATTTATCCTTGTTAAACATATCCTTTTTGATACCTATACCAAGCTTTTAAAATGACTTTTACGTTTCTTGCAATTTTATATTTATATTCTATTCTCTTTTTATCAATTATTTTATCCTATTTTGCTGAATTCTAAAATTGTCCCAATCCTCAGGCTTCCAACTTTTGTTTGGCAATTTTATGAGTCTCTGCATTTGATGTAATACTATACTTAACTTCCCTTGTTAGTCATTGCTCTCCTGTTTTTCCTGTTGGGTATTTTTGCTTTGTAAGAATTTATGCCTTTTTTTGAAAAACCAGTGTTAATTCTCTTAATATCAGCCATTGCCTATCCACCATCAAGCCTTTTAATGTATCTTTTTCCAACCCACCACTGCGAGCCTTCTGGAGGTGTTAAATCAATGTTTTCAGATGTTATTAAGCAGGTGGGACTTGATCCCAGGCCTTCTGGTACACAGATAAAGACACTACCACCTCAACACAAAAGCCAACTTTCTACTCATATCTTTATAACTGTCTTTTAGATTTGAGATCCTGGTTTCAGACTGTACTACACTATTTTCAAACTTATTTTGTTTATCTTGAAAATTTTATCATACTGTTTATTATTATTCCCTAATTGTTCTTTTACAACACTATTATGAATTAAATTTCTCATTACAGAACACTAGATCCAAGTTCTAGATAATACTAGATCCAAGTTCTAGATAACACTGGATTTAAATCTAACATTTCATAACATGCAGTCAGTGTTGTGCACTCCTAAAGGACTGTAATAGAGGCATATGACTAACAACTGCCAAGAGTTCGTAGAAATTACAATGGAGAAGGAAGAATGGTGTTCAACAGGTTAGCCAGAAATTTCCCATTGTCAAATGTTCTCAATTAATTTTGCATTTGAACAGCTCCAATGTCCAATTTATTCATAATTTACTTTATGAGGGTTTACCTGGACTGAGAAATGGAGGCAGATGTTGATAAAGCTGAGGCAGTTTGCATTAGATCTGTAGGAACTTCCTTGTTTGCCCAGGATGATCCATCAGCCATTTCTATCAGAAAAAGAACAGCCAGGTTGTAATTCTACATCAAGACAAATGGAGCGAACACTGTATAAACCAGTGCATCAAGATCCTCATTGCAAAATCAACACGGGAGCGATCAATGCAAGTTCATTGTGGTTGGCAGGTTTCCACTGCATTCCACCATGCAATACTGATGGAAGTAGAAGACTTGCACTGGGCCAAGACACTAGAAAAAAAAAACTACTCTCCTTCAAGTATTGTCATGAGATTTTTTAACATCCACCTAAGCAGGCAGAAAAGATCATGTGTTTTCTGAAAGATACCAGGTTAGACAAATGGAAGACTCCTCCCGTACAGCACTGAAACATCACTCTTGATGATGTGCTCAAGTCCCTGCAGTAAGCACGACAAGAAGGAATGTTACTGCTGAGCCAATACTATCACAATTTCAAAGCAGACAAAGGCATGAACATATGCTGCATTTGGGGTATATTTACACTGTTCTGCTACCCAATCTGAAACCAGCAGCTGTAATCTGGAACTGCTTTCACATTGCCTGAATGAACTGCAGGTGTGGGCACAGCACTGGTCCTATTGTCATCAAGTTAAATACTTAGACAGCACAGTGGGAGAGGTTCTACCAGAAATATTTAAGTCAGGTTAAGAGAACGTATCAAGTGCCAAAGTGATTATCAGAGCCCCCCCACCCCACAAGCATTTCAGTGCATGCTGGACACCACACTGGAATTAATTCCAGGAATCTGCAAGTCAAAGTAGCATAAAACTGCCTTCTCAAGAAGTTTCCTTCTACTTTGGTTTGAAGTCAAGTTACTCTTAACTTGGTTTCATGCTTACAGTTTAGCATGGTGCAAAGCTGAAACTGTTTGTCATGGATGCTATTCTGAGAGTAAACTGCAACCCAAGATAGCTTACATTCGTAACGTTGCTCCACTTTAAAACAAAATCCATTATATTACACAAAACCAAAAGCAATTGCACAGCTCTGACCACGCAATTCTATCATTTTTTTATTTTATTCATTCACGGGATGTGGGTGTCGCTGGCTAGGCCAGCATTTATTGCCCATCCCTAATTGCCCAGAGGGCAGTTAAGAGTCAACCACATTGCTGTGGGCCTGGAGTCACATATAGGCCAGTCCAGGTAAGGATAGCAGTTTCCTTCCCTGAAGGACATCAGTGAATCCAGATGGGTTTTTTCAACAATCGGCAATGGATTCACAGTCATCAGTGGACTCTTAATTCCAGACTTTTTTTTTACTGAATTCAAATTCCACCATCTGCCTTGACAGGATTTGAACCAGGGTCACCAGAACATTAGAGATAGTAGGAACTGCAAATGCTGGAGAATCCGAGACAACAAGGTGCAGGGCTGGATGAACACAGCAGGCCAAGCAGCATCATAGGAGCAGAGAGGCTGACGTTTCGGGCCTAGACCCTCACCAGAACATTATCTGGGTCTCTGAATTAACAGTCCAGCAAGAACACCACCAGGCTATTGTCTCTCCCTGGTCAAAAATGACCAGGGATTGCTTTTGTTCACTAACATTCCTTTCCTTTTCAAGAGTTTCTGGCCTTCACTTGGCACATCCACAGGGCTCCAGTGAGTCACAGTGCTCTGTGAAAGGGGAAATGTACGCTTGACCACACTTGACACACTTGAAACAGTCCAAATTTTCTACATGCTAAGTTTCAATCCAGTTAGACAAGGTTCAGAGGGACATCTGGCTGCTGTGACTACCTGAGCAATAGATTAGAGCGCAGCTGTCAGAATATCCTGTACTTCAGCTACAGGAATAGCTCCAACATAGGCCGGTCCAAACTGGACTTTGATATAAACAGCACTCCAGCATTAATTATATATTTTAGTTTCTGAATTACCCAAACCGTTAGTAAATCTACTTCTCAAGTAACTGTGGCTTTCCAAGAATGTGTATCTTGTTCAAAACTGGACAGTGACATGTATGCCCTGCCCAAAGGCAGATACTTGGTTCGTTGGAGTCTTTACAGGTCTCTCGATCCTGAGCCATTCCCCTCATTTGACAATAACCTCTGCAAGTTTTTAAGCCATCCAATATGCATGTTTTCTTCCTTCTTGTTTCCTGTCTCTTTTTGAAATAATACTCTGCCTTTCTGTCCCCTCACTCAACTTGTCAAAATCACCTTACAACCTCCTCACGACTCACAATTCTGCCTCGTTTTGGGTCATCAGCAAATGTGGAAATGATGCATTTGGCTGTCTCATTCAGGTCATTTATATACAGTGAATAGCTGAGGCCCCAAACACTGATCCTTGTGGTAGCACAGTAATCATTGCCTGCCACTTGGAAAAAGACCCATTTATTCCCACTCTCTGTTTCCTGTCTGTCAACCAATTCTCATCCATGCCAGAATATTTCTTTCAATCCCATGTGCTTTAACATTGCCCAATTACCACTGATAAGGGAACTTATTAAAAGCCTTCTTAAAATCATATACACCACATCCAGTGGTTCTCCATCATCTATTCTGCACTTTACATCCTCAAAAAACTCCATGTTGTAAACCCTTTGCATATACTCATATGGGCTCTGTCTAATCCCATTAATGCTTTCAAAATGCACTGTTATTATGTTTTTTACGCTAGAGCTAGCACTTTCCCAACTACTGATACCAGGCTCACTGGTCTGTAATTCTCTCCCTCCCTTTTTAAATATTGGGGTTACATTTGCCACCCTCCAGTCTGTGGGAGATGGCCTTTCCCATAGCTATCCTTCTCACTGCTTTGTTGCATCTTTAATTTGCAGAAACCGTGCTTCCTAAATAGGTGAATCATTGCACAATTCCACTTCTCTTCCTTCTATGGAAAGATGAGGATTTCTTGGTGGCTTTGAGATACATCATCTGTTATTGAGTGTATACCAATGAGTTGGAGAACTGACAAAGCCTGTGGTACAATGCATAAAGTAATTTTCGCACTTATTCAGGGCACTTCTGCAAACGTGGACAGTATAATTTCTGAGACACTGAACTGATTACCTGCTTCAAGGGTCCTACCGATTCAACCTGCCAATTAATTAGCATATAGATATACGTAGTTAAAGGGAAGTTTGCACAAGTCAATAAACATTAATTCTGTTACAATACCTCTGCTGTGTGAATCTCTTAATGAGCACCTCAAATGTTTTCCACCCACTATCACAATAAGAGATAGACTTTTCACCACAGTCCTTTGTCTGCATGTTTCTGAGCTCAAGATAGTGCTGCCAGATACAACCAAGTATGACAGGGTAAAACTACTTAAAATATTCCAACCCCCTGTCTTCACAGTTTACAGTTTCACAGTCTACTGAAATCCTAATGACAATACTCTTATGAGATAAAAACAAATGAAAAGTCAGCAGGGACTGATTCACCCTCTGATTTCCACATGCATCCTGTGGAGAATAATCTAGTCACAAACTAACAACTTCCAGCAAGTGCCTTCTGACTGAGGAATCATGGACTCACTAAAACACTGCAACCTATTTTAAAAGTGCAATCATTAAACATGCAAGATGAAACCCTTCCAGCAATTCTGTGCATATTAAAACTCTCCGAGAATTACAGCATCAGTGGGACAAGACTATTTTCACATTGGACATGCAAACAACTTCAGCTAAAAATTGGTATCTAAATCAACGGTGTAATAGTCTACTCCATTATTAAGCAAGGTTTGTGATAACAAGTTTGATTTTTCCATAACTGGAATTAAGAAACATATTTAACAGCACTGTTTTAATGAAATATACCAACATTAGATATGGCTGCTCTGGGATAAGGCAGGATAGTCTTTTAAAAATATAATATTGTTTAAAAATGAAGAAATAGGAGATGGAGACCATTTTGCCTTTTGAGCTGCACTATCATTCAACAGGATCATGGCCAATCCTCCATCTCAACATCATATTCCCACTTTCTCCCCACAGCTCTCAATGCCTTCAATTATCTAAAGATTTATCCATCTCTTTCTTGTGTATAATCAGTGATGCAGTCTCTACAGCCTTCTGCAGTAGAAACTGCAACAGGCTGACCATTCTCTGAATAAAGAAATGCTTCCTTGTCTCAGTCTTAAATTGCCTACTCCACATCCTCACTGTGCATCAAATCTGTCCAGCCCTGTCAGAATTCTTATGTTTCATTCAGATCTCCTCGCATCCTTCTAAACTCTCATGAACTCTCAAGAACAGAAACTGGTGGAAAAACTCAGCAGTTCTGGCAGCACCTGTGGAGAGAATGCAGAATTAATGTTTGGGGTCGGTGATCTTTCTCCAGAAGCCCTGATTATGATTTCCAGCATTTGCAGTTCTTTCAGTATTCTGTCTCATGAATAGAGGCCCTGTTGAACCTACCTCTCCTCATACAACACTCCTGCTATCTCTGGTATCAGCCCAATGAACCCCTGCTGCACTCTGTCAATGCCAGGCATTTCGTTTCTCAGGAAGGGAGACCAAACCTGAATGCAATACTTATATGTGATTTCACCTAGGCACTGTATAATTGCAGTAAAACATCTCTATTTCCGAACTCAAATCCTCTTGCCATGAAGGCCAATATTCTACTTGTCTTCCTAACTGGTTGCTGCAACTGCCTGTCTCTATTCATCAAATGGTATACAAGACATTCAGATGCCTTTGTGTACTCATACTTCTCAATACATCGCAATTTAAATAATTCTCTGGTTTCCTGTTTTTCATACCAAAGTGTATGACTTCACGTTTATCCACATTATACTACATGTGCCATGTGGTTGCCCACTCACTCAACTTGCCTAACCACCTTTCATCCTCCTCATTACTCACAACTGTACCCAGTATTGTGCTGTCAGCAAACACGAATACTGCATTTGGTTCCTTCATGCAGGTCATTTATACCTGTCATGAATAGCTGGAGCCCGAGCATTAACTCTTGAAGTACCCCATTTGTTATTGCCCACCAATTGGAAACAGACACATTTATTCCAACTCTCCTCTTCCTGTCTGTCTACAAATT